CCTTGGGCCCTACAACCAAGGGAAACCCTAGATACAGACCTTGTTGTGTTCTACGGTCAGCCCTAGGGTTTCTTCACAGCGACCAAGATAGGAGAGAGAGAGGAGAAAGAAAGGAATAGGGAAGAGCAGAAAAGGGCGGCGGCTGTAATCAGACAGACGGATTAGTGCTCTGATACCATGTTTGCTGGAATACAGCAGCCGAAGAAGAAGAAGAAGAAGAGAAGAAGATTTTAGGAAGGTGGCATAAACTCTTCAGCCGGCCCTACAATCTTATATAGATGATTATAAAATAATATTACATGACTGGACTAGAATGCCCCTGATTAGTGATGGGACACCTAGACAAATAAAACATTAAACAAGTTTAAGCCCAATAACTAAGAACTTAAGACACAAATATGACTGATATAAACACTAAAAAACAGCCGAACCAACATTAAACATTAATACATGTAAAATTGTTTAGACCAGATGTTGCATCTATTCTCAGTTGACTATCCATTTTATTCCCATTTGTTGTTTCCATTCTCTGTTAAATATCACCCAAGAGGTGACAACCCTATCCAAGGTGCTTCTGTGGCTAATACAGACGGAAGCACATAGGTACTAGCAAGTTCTTATTTGGTATTCTGATGGAGTTTCTGATCTTTGGCATAGCTATTACTATTCTTGATTCTCATAACTGATTCATGTATTTTTCAACCATTGGATTGCTCAGGTTGCAGAACCATTAAGAGCAATGGTAATGGGTGCTCCACTGGAGGATGCTCGGCATCTTGCTCAACGATATGACAGAATGCGACAGGAAGCTGAAGCTCAGGTTATATTAGATGTGTCTGTTTTCCTTTTGGTTGACAGGATCTATCTGGTCGTCTATGATATTTTGACCTATTGGATTGATAAAGCTTTCGTTTTTTATGCTTTGATCTAACTTTCATAGTTTCTTTTGACTTGGTATTCTACATGCGATTCATCTTGCAATATTCTGCTGCAACTTATAATTCTTCTTTAACTCTGTCTCTCTACCTAATATTTAAAACAAAGGAATGAACAAACAAACAAAGGAAGAGAAAAGAAAGTTGGCTGCATCTTGAATTTATTTTAGTTTGAATGGCTTAACATAATTCATGGTTCATTCCCTGCTACAAGCTCCTTGTTTTCTTCTGATGTTGAACTTCTATAGGCTATTGAAGTCTCCAAACGTCAAGTGAAATTAAGAGAATCTGGAGGGAATCCTGATATTGCCTCAAAGCTGGAAGCTGCTGAAACCAAGCTGCAAGAATTGAAATCAAACATGTCAATATTGGGAAAGGAAGCTGCAGTTGCAATGGCTGCAGTTGAAGCCCAACAACAAAGGTTAACGCTCCAGCGGTTAATTGCCATGGTAATGCATTTGATTTTTTTTTCTCTATCAGTGCACTATGCACATTTTTCATTTCAAGATTTGTAGTAAATTTGGTTTATAAGTTCATTATTTTTCCTATTTTTATTCTGCACTGAAGGTGGAAGCAGAACGTACTTACCATCAGAGAGTCCTGCAGATACTTGATCAACTTGAAGGAGAGGTATGGGACCTCAGGTCCTCATTAAGAAGCCCTCCAACAATACATACATCTTTTCTATTGTGGCTAAATCTATACAAATACATATACACATACATACACATACATACACATGTATATGGATTTAACTTTGTGCGTTCACAACACACATTCAGAAAAGAAAAAAAAATGCTTCAATAAATGAGAAAATTTACTATGATGTGCTGCAACTGGCAGATGGTATCAGAACGCCAACGAATCGAAGCTTCTCCTAACCCAACTATGGACAATTCCATGCCACCACCTCCATCATATGAAGAAGTTAATGGTGTGTTTGCTTCTCAAACATATGATGGTTCAACAGACAGCATGGGATACTTTTTAGGAGAGGTAACTTCTCTTTATTTTGTGCATTAGTTACTGCAAAAAATTCTTTGTAGGCTTTATAATGGTTAGTTGATGTCTATTTTCTTCTAACTTCTGTTTCCTTTGTCATTTTATCCTAGGTTGTGCATTCATACCAAGCTGAATCAGATGTGGAGTTGACTTTGTCAGTTGGTGACTATGTTGTTGTCCGAAAGGTTTTTCATTCCTCCTTTTCATCATTATTCTATTTGATATATCTTCAAATGCATATGCTTTATTAACCCAGTGGTTTGAAATTCTAAACTATGAGGCAAGGTGTTTTGTTCACATGATGAATGGAATATAAACCTCACAAAAACACAAGCTGGTTGAATAAAGTGTGTATGTGCTTCAGGAGTGTTGTGCTATTGCCTTGTAACTTTAATACTGCAGGAAATTTCGGTTCAAGTTCAAAGCACCAAAAGAATGAGCAGGACAAAGGGAACTTAGGCTCCGTTTGGTTTGTGGGATGGGAAGAGAGAAGAAAAGGAACATTTTCGAATATTCTTCCCTTTTTTTTTTTGATAATTGAAATAATTTTATTAATCAGCAATAGACAATATATATATTCGAATATTCTTCCCTTCCCATGTTTGGTTTGTGGCATGTCACTATTGTCATGAGATGGGATGGGAGAAAAGGTGGGATTACAATTATCAATTCTTGAGAAGTGGAGTCCCACCATTTTAGTGTGAAACAAGTGGGAAAGGAGGGGGAAACTTGTCTAACACAAAAACGCCTTTCTTTTAGTATTTTTAAGAGTTAATACTTGACCAATAACTCATTAATAAATTATTAATTATTTAGTAATATTAATAGAATAATTTAATGAAAATTATGTAACAAATAAATAAAAAGAAATAATTAATCAATTAAAAACAATTTAACAATTAATAATAAAGTATTAAATAAAAACAAAATTATTAAGTAATTAAAAATTATTTAATTATTAATTTATTTAATAAATAAAATATAAAAATGTTAATTAATTAACAGCAATTAATAATACAAATTAAAAGTTATAAATTAATTCCTAATGATTAATGATTAATTAATAATAAAACACAAAATAATAAAAATAATATTAATTAATTAATTAATTATCGTTATTGGGTTGATTTTTCCACTATTTTTCCTTTTGCAACCAAACAATGGATCATGAAAAGTTTCCATGGTTCCTTCCATTTTCCCTATCTTAGCCCATCCCACCAAAACCTTCCCTCAAACTAGGGGTGCAAATGGATCGCATCATGATCTGATCTGATTCGAAGTCTGATCCTATTTTGTCATATTCGGATATCCCCATTTTGGATCTTTGGATCGGTTAATAGGATCTGATTAGAAATTGGATTGAATTCGGATCACCCCTATCTGATCTGAGAGGATCCTATCCGATATATGTTATTTATTTATTTATATAAATACATATAACACATATATATGTTATTTATATTGCATTTTTGTAAATTTGTTATATTCTTTATTTTTTTTTACAAAAAACATGTATATTCATGATGAAAATAGTTGAAAAGATACTTGTATTTTTTGTTTTTCTTTATTTAAATTGTTATATTTTATTTTTTAATAATTTATTAATTTTTTAAAAAAATTAAACTGGATTGGATCAGATCCGAGTATCCGACTTACTCATCGGATTCGAATTCAAATCAATGTTTGTAAGATTTGATCGGATCGGATCCTGCTGTTCATAGTATTGGATTGGATTCGGATATACCCCGATTCGAATCCGATCTGATCCGTTTGTATCCCTACCTCAAACCAACTGGCATTAGGTTAAGTTTTGAGAAATTATTTTCTTTCTCTCCAATCAAAAAATATATATTTTTTCTCATTCTTTAATAGAAGAAATGGCTTTAGCATGGGATCGCTGATAATTTAGCAAAGCAAGTGGTTTATAGGGAATCTTTGTATTGGGCTCAATTGTAATCTGTTTCGAAGTCCTTGTCAGAGGCTGCACCTCGCTCCTCTCCAAGGGTTGATTGTATTGTATTTGTATGTATATGTTGATTTTCATTAATATGGTAACTGTTCTTTTTGTTATGTTTTAGTTGGTATTTTTTGTTAGTTATTGAACCTACCAGGGTTTACTTACATTAGTAATCCTTATTTGACTTAACCAAAAAAAAAAGAAATTTGAATATGCATATATTTTTTATTTTCATATTTTCCTTAAAGCTATATGACATTCTCATGAAATTCTGACATCTAATTTGTTTCAGTCATTTAGAGGTGTTTTCCCACTTCAAGGGTATGCTTAATAATGCCTCACTCTTGACTCTTTTAAGCCTCATGAGCCCGCCATTCTTCATATCTGCACCATGGCACTTTGACTGTGATGAGTGTCGTGGACAGTGGACTTGTGGTAAAATTAGGGTTTTGGAGAAAAGTGATGTTAATACACTGGGGACCTTCTATGTTAACAAATATTTTAAGCATGATTGTCGATTTGTAGCATCCCGTATAGGAGAAAACTTTTTCAATGCACATCTTTAGATGCCAGTTTGTTTCTATAAATCTGGTGATATCATGGAAGACTGAACTAATGTGAGGGAACTCTAACATCTATAGCTCTTTCATACCAGCATGATTAACTTGTCATGACATCAATGCCAATACTTGTCTTGGATCTTGTTCTCTTTCATTGGTTGTTTTCTCAGTTTCCACTGCCTTCTCTATCATGACATAGCAATCCAATCTGTTCATTTTGAACATTCATGGAAGGGCAATTTAGAAGGAATGTATTATAGCATGATCATAGTAAATTGATAAAAAAATTGATCTTTATTAAAAAATAAAAACAGTTTTAGAGGAACCAAATTACAAGCATTTCATTCCATGATGATGTACTTTATCTAGCATCAAGACCTGTTGTTTTTGAACCCAAGAGACTCCAAAAGGCTATTAGACTGGAAATCTGTGTAATAAGAAGATAAAGGGGGATCTAGGCATGGGGAGATTGAGGGATAGGAATTCAACACTTTCAAGGAAATGGTTATAGAAGTTTCAGATAGACTTGGACAAGCTTTGGCATAACATGGTGGCAAGCATTCATGAGAGACATACTAACAGTTGGGATGCTGATTTAGATGCAAAGTCATCTGCTTCTCCTTGGATATTAGTGTTGATTTACTCCCTTGATTCCTAAATCATACTCAGTTTTTTACTCTGGGAATAAGGTCAAGTTTTGGGAACATACTTGGTAGGGAGATGGATCCTTAAAAGAAAGCTACCATGATCTTTATTCTATCTCCTCATTCAAAGGTAGACCCATCTCTTTTCTTGTCTCCCCTTTCCAGTTGGCCTTTATTGGGATTTCGGTTTTAGGAGGGGGCTTAGAGATCTTGAAGTGCCTGCTGCTATGGATTTTGTTAGCTCTAGAGACTTTTTCTCTTCCTGTGTGTTCTCTTGTGCTTCCTTCTTCCATATCCTCAACCATGTTCTCACACCTTTTCTGTAAAGGAAATTTGGGTTAAACCTATACCACCCAAAAGTAGGGCTTTTTGTTGGCAGTATCACCAAAAAATAAACACTTAATATATGTTGCAAGAAAAAAGACCTCACTGGTGCTTATCTCTTCATGTCTGCTCTTTACAAATTTATGTTATGCAAGTGGGGAATCTATACACCCTCAATTCTTCTCCTGGTAGTTTGTGGCTGGTGTTTGGGAGTGGATATTGACCTTCGGACTTGGGTGGAGAGAGCCAATAGATGTTGAGTCCCTCTTTAAGAGCTCTTTCTTCCCAATGATCGCTGGGAGAGCCAGGGTGATGTGAAGATACTTTCAGGGCAGCAATCCTGATGGTGATAGGGGAGGAAAGGAACAACAGGTTATTCAAACATAAAAACAGAACCTTTGGAAGCGATGAAGAAAAATATACAAATCAAGGCTGTGCATTGCATAAAAACATTCAGGCTTTGGAGAATTTTCAATTTATACTTTGCTAAGTTGAGGTGTAATAGCAGTCACTCCCCTCCAAAGTGATGCAATCTCTTTGCATTGGTCCCCTCCAGCATCTGATGGAGTTAAATTATACTTTGATAGATGCAGCTCGGGTAACCCAGGAGTATCTTGAATAGGTGGTGCCATTAGAGATCACAATGGGGGCATCATGGCACCATTTTCAGGCATTGTAGGAATAGAAAATTGAATTAGGGCTGAGCTGTTGGCAGTTTTGCATGGCCTAAGAATGGCAATGACTCTAAAGTTGAGGAGTATTATAGTAGAGGGGGACTCAAAGGTGGTAGTGCAATGACTGCACAAAACAAGCAAGGCCCTCAGCAATATTGGTATCACTTGAAGGAGCTGAGAAACTCAGCAACTGAAGTAAATGCAAGCTTCACTTAGATTTATGCCTTTATGGATCAGCAAATGGGCTAGCCAATGCAGTGGCTAGATTTTCTGAGGTAATCTGTTGTAAGATTGTAAGAAACTAAATGTAAGGTGAGGGAAATTGCCTTAAAAGAGTGAATAACACTCAATCTTCGGGGATGCTTGGCATTCTGTACATATTCATTCTTCTTAATATAAATAAACGTTCACAGTTACCAATCAAAGAAAAAAATAAAAAGAGCTCTGTTATCGACAACTGATTGTGAAACAAACTGGCCATAAGTTCTCATTTGTGACTTTAGTTCCTATATTCCACATAGACCTGTTCATGGGCCTGTCTCGGGTTGAGCTTTTTTCAAAATCTGAATGGGCCCAGCCCAAAGTGCAAGCCTAAAGCAGTGTAAAATGTTCATGGGTGCCAGCTTTCAATGAACAGGTCTAATTCCAGGCTAGACTTGAATTGTCTCACCATCCTGCTCATGTCATAAACATCATAAATGAATTAATAAAATAATCAGAAATGAATAATTTTTCTTTAGTTCTTTCATTTCTTAAGTTACGTCCTCTAAAACAGTGCAAAAAGTTATCCTTGAAGCATTAAAAACAACCTAGAATTCATTCTTCAATGCCTAGAAGTATTTCTTTCTTCTATTACAATTCTTTTCTGTGTAATAAGCAAATTGTTTGATGGACCAGAATTAGCTTGAGGGATGGGTGGTGGGTTTATATAATTTTCTCATGTTTCATGAACTCTTCTAAATCAATTACTCCTGAGTCCCCAACTATTCCCAAAATTTGTAGTTGGTGTCATGCTTGTAGTGCAGCATGATCTCTACAAGCACCCCACACCCATTTACTTGCATGAGATGAATTTATGTCTATAATGCAGTAGAATTTTTAGGTGCCAAATATAAGAACACTTTTTACATTTATTTATATTAATCTATAGGTATTTGACAAAAATAATGACATCCAACTCTGCAAGCCAATATAGTCCTTACTGATATGCTGAAACGAATTATTTTTTAACAGTACTCAATTACTGCCAAGTATATAAACTATGTTATGGGACTTGGTTGTTTTATTACCACCATGGCCTTGCCAAGAGTGCTAGAGAGGTTATGTTGATCCAACTGATGAAAAGTTCAAGTAGACTGATCAAGAGAGAGAGAGAGAGAAGAAGAAGAAGAAGAAGAAGAAGAAGAAGAAGAAGAGTTCAAGTAGTGGTGGTATCTTAAAATCTGAATATACTCTTGATTTGCTTGCAAAAATTGTTTAAGAAACATGTTTATTAACAGCCATCTATGTTAGCCGGTTAGTGCATGCACATGTTCATTAACGTCCCATGTTTATTACTTCAACGCTCCATGTCCATGTTTCTAGACTTCTGGCATTTGCTAGAACCAAACTTTGTATCTATGTTGAAATGCCATGTTCAGATAATTGCAATTTGCAAATCTGACAAGCTGTGCCTTTGTCAAATTCTAGTTTTACACTAATGAATCATGATAAACCTAAAGCCAATTACTTCAATTTCGTACTTACCTAGATTGGAGGCTACCATCTTTGGATTTGTTTTGGTCAATTGTAGCACATGTCATGAATGTGTATAACTGGTTATGGATCTCACCCTGTTATTTTGACAGGTGTCAAACAATGGTTGGGCTGAAGGTGAATGCAAGGGTAAAGCTGGTTGGTTCCCATTTGGATACATTGAAAGACGGGAACGTGTTCTTGCAAGCAAGGTTGCTGAAGTGTTTTAGAAATATTGCCAAGTTGGGTTTTGAACGCAGGTGAAGCATTGTAGGAGTGTATTTGTTGCATTTGACATACTCAAGAGTAGAGCTTCTTTCACTCTTGCAGAGAGAATGGGAAACCTACTTTTGGCATGTGGTATGAGAGTGTATAATATTCGGTTTACTCTTATGAATTTTTTTCATATGCTCACCCTTTGTTAACGAGAGAACTCCACTCTTACCTCCTTATACAAATGATGGATCAATGAGTGAAGGAACATATATTTGGTTGTTTTCTTCCCGCTCGTTGCATCATTTCCGGTGCTTTGTGTATCACTTTAATTATAAGAAAATTGATATTCTGGAACTGCGGTCTGCACTTATTACTATATATTTTCATCTGTCACAAACAAGGAAAAGCAGAAACGGTTTTAAAATTTTAAAAGGGAAGTAACAGTCAATTGCTTGCTTAGAGAATGGTCATTTTGTTTGTGGGTATGGTTTGGATCGACTAATTTATGCATGCAAAATTCATTTTAATCTCAGGAAGGTTCTCTTGAATTTGATTCTCCACGGTGCGTTGACAGTTGACACTGCTACCAAGTACGGAGATGGTCTATAGTGTACTAGGTCACGTTTCACTATTTTCCACTGTTCACTTTCCTTATATCTCTTATGAATCACTTTGCTTTAAAATTTCTCTTCCTTTTATTTTCATAACTAACAAGAATAAATTAGACTTGTGTTGTCTACATGTCAAGTTGATGAAAGTAGCAAATTAGCCTAGTAAAAGATTGATAACTTACACCAACTAAATCAATGCCATTCAAATTGAACAATTTAATATAGAAACAAGTCCTGGTGATTTGATTGACAAGTCATTATACAAATCATATTGCAAATCTAGCAGAAATGAAATTATAATTAGGGTTGTTCACAAATAAATCCAAACCGACCAATCAGGCCTGACCCAACTCGAGTTGGCTGGTTTTTTTTTTTACTACTGGTCGGTTTTGGGTTGCAAAAATGAACAAATCGATAATTTAGTTCGGTTTTGGTTTTCATATGTGAAAACTGAAACCGAATCGAGTTATGTGAAAAAATATATATTCTGAAAAAATATCTGTTAAATATAGATATTTTAGTTTTAACTTTTAAATAATAAATATATATATATATATATATATATATATATATATGAAAAAATATATATTCTTAAATATATCAGATATATATTTCCAGAAATTAGAAAATATATATTTCGATATATTTGTATATATGTTTTGGTTTTAAATATATATTTTCAGAAAATATATTCTAAAATATTATATATAATATTAGCACTTTGACTTCATGTGCATTGTGCAAGTTTGGAGTTGGTTGAAACCCAAACTGACTCAAACCGATTCAAATCAATTATGTTGGTTTTACTTAATAGAGGGTCGGTTTCGGTTTGATTTATAGGTAACCCGATCAGGTTGAGTCGGTTGAAAAATCACTACTAAACCGACCCAACCCGACTGGTGAACATCTTGACTGGATTGTTTAGATCTTAAAATAAGACCTATTTAAATGTAGTGGGGTAAAAGACATAAAAGAATTAAACATGCCCTCCATTATTAAAACATTAAAACCTGCTAATATGTGACATCACTTGACCCATTAAAATTTATTAAAACCCTGTTTTGCCCTTTGATGTCCTGCTAATAGCCGATAACTAGTGTAAATTGAACCTGAGTTGGAAGAACACAGTTGACCAAGGAACTGTCCGAATGGGGTCAATTCAGAAAATCCCTCCCCCAAGTAGGAATGGCAACAGGGTGGGGCACCCCTTTCCTGTAGTCAAGATGATCTGCCTTATCTCAGCCCCCTCTCTGGTGGCGGCGGGGCAGGGCACCCACTCCCTATCAGGGATGCCTGAATTTTTCCCATTTCGAGGCAATCATCTAAAAATAATCCAGTTGGCGGATATTTTATAAATAGGATTATGAAAATTTAGAGGTATTTTAGAAATTGAATTATAATAGTTTAGGGGTACTTTAGAAATGAAATTATAGAATTTTAGGATTTTAAGAATTTAAGAAAAACTTGAAAATATTTTAAAAATCAATATTAAATTTATGGTATTTTATTAATTTATCATCGGGTTTGGGGACTTATATGTAAATCCTGTTCTCGCCCCCCAATTCAGGGCAAAATTATTTTTCCATGCACATCTCGTCCTTGTTTAAGATCAGGAAAAACCTGCCTTGTCTGAGGAGAGACGGGTCCCAGTTTTACAAGGAAAATTGTCATCCTTACCCCCAAGTGGGATAACAGTGTAATGTGTGCACCAAATAATTGGATGGTGACCATTGAAGATCATGGTCATGATAATCAATTATCATTTACCCAAACACAATAGAAAAATTCTTAGTACCGTATGGAGGCTCCTCACTTCTCCAACCAAACTCTCCTTGTACTTAATTCTGCTTCTTCAGTGTTTCATTATAAGTTTTGAATCTTTGATGTTGATTGCAGAACTTTATTATACCACCTTATTCCCTGATTTTAATTCTACAATCGAATAGGTGAAGTTATCAAGTCCAAAAGCGTATACTGTGAATATATTGTGGATGAGACCGTTTTTTTTTTTTTGGTCCCATCCACAAAATAGTACGGATAGGGACAATTCATAACTCAAATTTATTCATAACAACATTTTACCGTGGATAGACTACACCATGGTGTAGACAGTTTGTAGGAAGGATTCAGTGTAATACACATGTGTTAACATCGGCCTAATTACCCTCGTTTTTGTTAATCTTTTAACATATTTTCATTTATAATTAAATTCATTTTTAAATTATTTATTGCTAAAGATAATATTATAATGATTTTTCTTAACATTAAACCAATTTTAATTATTTTTATTATAATTTTTTGTTCATTAAAATGGTTTTGTACAATTACATAAATTCATATTATATACATTTTTTCTTCTAATAATTGACATAAATGGAAAATATATTTATTTTATATTTATTGGTAATTATGCATTGGTGTTTTATTTTTCTATTATTATTTTAAATTATTTTTGGATTAAATTATGTTTTGCTATTCATGATCAATCATGTATTTCACAAACTATATATGAGATGTATAGAATCAACAAGTGTGGTGCATAACAATCTGTGGGTGTGGATAGTTTCTGTCCATGCAATTCTATCCATAATTCAGAATAAATATAGATGGTGGTGTGGTGTGGATTGGGTAATGAATAGTAACAATTTTTGTATTAGATAGCCATATATCAATTTAACCTCAACTAGTTATGTTATTGCACTTGTAAATAGGGCTGCCGACGAGTTGGCTCTAGTTTGGGACTGCTATGGGACTCATTTATTATTATTATTTGGGACAAAATCACAGATCAAAACCCTTTTGATTGTACTGATATCTATAATTATTTATGTTAATAATGGTTTATAACTTCATTTTTGATAATACAACATTAAACAAAAGACGACAAAATAATACATTGTTTATATAGGGGTGGAGCTAGGGGGTGGCAGAGGGGAGCCATGCCACCCCCATGCCTTGAAAATCCCCATAATAGCTATTTAAATTCCACATATATTTTTCCTCTCCTACCCATGTTTCCTATCTTTTGGCCTCCCTATCCATGCTTATTATACTTTGGTCTCCCCTAATAAAAATCCTAGCTCTGCCCCTTAACCAAATTATCTTATATATTATCTATCAAATATCCTGACATAAATATAATAAAAATACAAGAAAATTAGAACACCTTTATATATTATTAGCTCAATAATCGGTTTGAAACAAGCAAGAATTAGAACTAATATAATAGGTCCCATGACAACCCTGCTTGCAAATTTTTCCTCTGCTTTAGACAAGTCAAACCGGCTTAAATTAAATATACCTTCCCACCAATTTTATTTTTAAGGACAGTAAGATTTGCAAGGTGATGTTCGAAGGTGGTGGTCCTGTTTCATGCCTTAATGAATGACAGAATTGTCTTTTATTTCATTTGAAAATCTCATGATATATTCAAAGAGTTCGAATCAGCACCCTACGAGGTTGATTGCTTCCTACAACATTCCATAATACATTCCCGCTGTGTATTGAGAACATCTCCCGATGATAATCCCAGAAATGACAGAATTGTCTTTAATTTCATTTGAAAATCTCATGATATATTCAAAGAGTTTGAATCAGCACCCCACGAAGTTGCCCCCCACAATATCCCACAACACATTTCCGCTATGTATTGAGAGCATCTCTCCGTGATAACATCACCATTTCTGAGATTATCATCGGGAGATATTCCCAATACACAGCAGGAATGTACTGTAGAATGTTATAGGAAACAATCTTGTGGGGGCTGATTTGGTCTCATATTCAAGTCTTTAGGAAACGTCAAGGATTGCCAGGGTGACTGGCCCCCACCAGGGCTCTAACCCACACTGCGTCGGTCAGAGTAGTTGTTTTGGACCATTGACCAGGTTTAGGGAACCCGAAACTCAATAAGCAGAGACGGGGTGGGATGGTATTTGTCCACCTTGCCCCAAGCCCGCTCCCCGGCGGTAGTTAATATGTTATATATTATTTGTATAATATGTCATTTTATATATAAATATTATAATATTAGTTCACATTATGTATTTTATTTATATATTTGTATACAATCTGTTTTTCTAAAAAAATAGATTTATATGTATAAATGTAGAGGTATATATCAAGCCATGCCGAACTTAGGGTTTCAGGGGCCAAGCTGGTATGGTACAACGATCGGACAGTGTAAGCTATGCCACCTTCAGGTCCACGGACTAACACGGCACGACGTGGCATGGGCCATATATATACATCTGTGCTTCTGCTGTTTGTGTGATTCAGCCTTCATGTCGTTATTCCTGGGCTTGCTAGGTTGGGGAGCCCAGTGGGCCTGAAAAAAAAAAACGCTCCCGACGGACGGGTAATACATCGTGGTCCTATCATAAACATTCCTAAATTAGAGGAACACGGAAGTTGAGTTACAAAATCAGGCAAGCAACGGGAATACACATCTGCGCCGCATTGCACATCCCAACCGTTTATTGGGAACATGTCCTAATGCACGCTGAGATGTGTATGTGGGGCGCAGATGTTGAGAACTCAAGCAACGAACGGTCGAGGACTGGAGACCGGGACGAGCAAGACAAAAAACGACTGAAGGGTGAAGGTTGTGGCGTTGTGCCTTGGAAGCTTCTCCCTCCTCCTTCTCCTCCTTCTAAACGGGGCCTACATCGACATCCATGTTCATGGAATTGTTGCTCATCACACGTTCATCTCCAGCCTCCATAACGAGTTAACGACCACGCTGCACACACCATTAACGAAACACCAAAGCATACCGACGACGAAACTCGCTCGTGCTTCCGACTCTTTGCTTTCCATCTATCCCATTTGCTCCTCCCTCTCTCGCTGCTGATGCTGCCTACTCTGTTCTCTTCTGTATCCCTATAATTCGCAAATGGACTTGAAAACCCTAGCTCTCCCTCCTCATTTCCCTTCCCTTCGAGGTCCTCTTAATAGACGATTCTCCTCTCCTTCTACGCTTTTCAATCCATTTGTTTCTTCTTTATGTTCTCCCCCTTCTTTTCCTCTCCTTCACCGGCTTGTAAGTGCTTCGTCATCCAGAACGAACCGTCGTTGGTTCCGAGTTGCTTGCATTAGCCATGGTCAGGGAGATGTCAAGGAGAAACCAAATTGGGCGACTGATGATGTCCAAAGCGTCGTTCCGATTACTCCGGTGGAAGAGGAAAGCATGGAAGTTGTTCATAGGGGGCACGAGGAATTTGGTGCTAACGACAGCATTTGGAGACAAATGAAGGAGATTGCCATGTTTGCAGGGCCGGCGACCGGGCTATGGGTATGTGGGCCCCTGATGAGTCTCATTGATACGGCAGTCATCGGCCAAGGCAGCTCTGTGGAGCTTGCTGCCTTAGGTAGTAGCACTAGCATTTTGGGGTTGCCAGCTCGCATTTTATAGTTCTCAATTTCTTTAATATGTGCTGCGTGCATTTTGCTTACTCTTTGTTTGGACAAATCGTGGGTTTCATTGGCAGGGCCTGGCACGGTTGTTTGTGATTATCTGGGTTATGTGTTCATGTTCCTTTCTATTGCTACTTCCAATATGGTCGCCACCTCTCTTGCGAAAAAGGTCAGCTTTTTATTAATATTCTTACTTTAGAGTCCCGTTTTAACTGCTCTTAACTTTTTTTTTTCCTTACCATTAATTAGAATTAGTTCTCTTCTACCACACACACACAAAAAAAAAAAGGAATTAGTTCTCTTAGGAATTTACCATCAAGTTTTTCTTTCTTTTTTTTTTAAATTTGTTTAGACGTCTGAATTTGCTTACAGGGTTAATGCAATTTTATGGATGTGGAATTAGTTTTTGTTGCTTCAGACTGTTACCTGAAGGCTAAGGAGAGAAGCTACTGGGTTGGAAAATAGGCTCACTTGCGTTTGTTATTTGTGTAGATTAAGTAAATCAAATGGTCATGATTCATGATATGGATTATATATAACAAAGAGACACCTGCTCTTAATATATCGTTAAAATCAGCTGTCATTTGTCTGTTGCAGCTATAATACGTGAGAATGCAATCCTCGACATAAAGGCCCTTCCCTAATATGTTGGTCTAAGAGCTTTCTATAACAAAAGATGCAACCTTTTGAACCTCTTGTGGAAAGCCTTCTAAATCTTCCATTTATTAACCCTTAGGGGAGTTGGGCAATGAATTTGTCATGGCATGATGGCAAGCAGATGGAAAGCCTTCTTCTTCTTCTTCTTATTTTTTGCAGACTATGAAGTGCAATACATATAAAGGAGGTGTTTGGAACCAATGCTGTTTTCCTAAAAAATGGCAACACATCAGTGCCACGATGGTGTTTCATGGTTTGAAGACACGCTCTCTGTTTGGTTGGTGTTTTCCCAAATAACACTGAAAAAACAACTAAGCCTAGGAAGGAAACCAGGAAGGCGTGGTCTGAGAAAATGCCAAAAAGGGTGTTTTCTCATTTTCATACCATTACTAGCAACAGTTAGCTGATGTGGTGATGAAAAACACTTAGGTGACAGCAATGGAACCAAACAAAGAACATTTCCGTTTTCTGAGAAAACAACATACTGTTGCGTCACCATTTTCTTAGATGTTAGTGTATAACAAAGCATTCTAGAATTCTTGAACTAATCGAGCATTCTAGAATTCTTGGACCGATTGTCCAGTTGGCCCACTTATCTTGCCACTTGTTCAGTCTGTTGAGACAGTTAGCATATATTTATAAATACTTGATTAATGAAGTGAAAATAATCAATTTGCTCTGCTCACTTTGATACCTGTTCACATGGTATCAGAGCGGTAACAGATCCTGTTGTGTTCACCACCACTGTAAGTCTGTCCTGATCAGAGCGGTAATGGCTCTGGTTTCGATCCTGCTCAACGAAGAAAATTACTTGTGGTGGCAATGAGCTATGAGAATCGCCCTCTGAGCAAAAAATAAAATCTGCTTCATCGACGGATCATTACCCCGACCGGTGATGGCTTCAACAGAAGAGAATCTCTGGTTAAAATGCAACGCCATGGTTGCATTTTGGATATATAATTCACTGCCAAAAGATATATATGGCAGTGTAGCTTTTGTTGAATCGGCCTTTGAAATATAGAAGGACAAAGGAGCTTGAAGATCAATTTTCTCAAGGTGATATACCTCACATCCACCAACTCAAGAAAGATCTGGAGAACTAATTACAATGGCTTACTTCACAAAATTAAAGACCCTGTAGGACAAATTGGCGGCAGTGACCCAGCTACCTGAATGCACATGTGGCATGAAATTCTTCATTGAAGAACGAGTACATCAGTTCTTGATGGGGCTTAATGAATCTTACAACACAGTAAGGTAAAACATCCTGAGTCATGAGCCATTGTCGTTGATCAACAAAGTCTATGCCTTGATCCTTCAAGAAGAACGACATTAGTCGATATCTTCCCTTCGAGGTCCAACCTCACTTGAAGCAACAGTGCTAAACGTGTCTTCACGACAAAACCAGCGCAATGCCACCACAACTAACCAGAAATCATGATCAAAGTATTGTTGTGACCATTGCAAATGTAATGGACACATGAAAGACAAATGCTATGAATTGGTGGGTTACCCACCCAACTGGGACAAGTCACGTTCAAATTGTTGCCAAGAGAAAATTCCAATGAATACAGATAGTTCAAGCTCAAATGCAGCAACAGATTCTTGTGAAAACGACACTAATTCTCCAATCCCTGGACTCTCTCTCCAGCAGTATGCCCAACTGATGTCCCTCTTAAACAAAGACTCCTCTGAGACTATTGCAGCAAATGTTTCTATTAAGACTGCAATGAACTCAATCCCCACCGGGATAATTGATAGTGGTGCCTCAGACCACATGATTTCTTCACTCTCATTTTATGATGATGTTGCTCTTCTTGACAAGCCAAAACCTATACACTTGCCAAATGGCAGCACCATTTTTGCTACCCACAAAGGTTCCATTTTTGCATATGATCATTTACGGGTTTTTGGGTGTCTATGTTATGCTCAGATAAGGCCCCCACCATCTAACAAATTTTCCAGTCAAGCAGTCTGTTGTGTATTTGTAGGATATCCTTTTGGTCAAAAAGGATACTGTTTGTACGACATCCACACTCGCTACATATTCACAGCCCGAGACATCACTTTTTATGAGTTTGAATTCCCCTACCAACCCTCCTCCACATCTACCTCAGAACCAGTCCCTTCACCTATCTTTCCACCACCACCAACACTTATACTTGATGATAACATTGTTGACACAAACCCAACACAGCCACACATACTACCTCCATCTCCTATTCAACTTGAGGTTGTCCATACCCAACACATTGAGAACACAAGAACCTGTCCGACCATTAAAACTCCAGCTCGACTTCATGACTATGTTTATGACCTACCACCCTTCCTGCACTCCTCTAGTACTCATGCTGCCACCTCCTTATCTGATTTTGAACCCATGACATATGCCCAAGCTGGCAAAGACCCACGATGGTGTTAGGTCATGGCTGATGAATCGTTGCATTGGAAAGAAATTACACTTGGACAATTGTTGATTTCCCTCTCGGTAAAAGAGCCATTGGCTCCAAATGGGTGTACAAGATCAAACGGAAAGCCGATGGCTCCATTGAACGGTTTAAAGCCCGTCTAGTAGCCAAAGGCTACACACAAATTAAAGGATTGAACTACCATGATACCTTTGCTCTAGTAGCAAAATTGGTTGCCTTCTTGCCGTTGTTGCCGTAAAAAATTGGGAACTCCACCAATTTGATGTCAGCAATGCTTTCTTGCATGGAGAGCTTCATGAGGAAGTGTATATGATGATTCCTCCAGGTTTTGCTTCCAATGGTGATCATCGTGTTTGTAAGTTGTAAAAATCACTATATGGCCTCAAGCAAGCTTCTTGCATGTGGTTTCAAAAATTTACAGAGGCCCTTCTCACCATGGAATTCTATCAATCTTCTGCTGATTACTCTCTTTTTACATGGTCCTCTGGAAATTCTTTTGTTGCTGCCCTAATCTATGGCAACGACTCGACTCATATTATTCCATTGAAGAAATATATCGATGATCAATTTTGCATTAAAGATCTTGGGCCTCCCAAATACTTCTTGGGCCTTGAAGTAACCCACTCATCAAATGGCATATTTTTGGGTCAACAAAAGTACATCAATGACATCCTTACAGATACTTGGATGCTGAAAGCTAAATTACTGTAGCCGAAGTAACAGAAAAGAGAAGAAGAAGAAGAAGAGATGCAGGAATGTC